TAACATAACATTTGTATTTACTTTTGCAAAGTCAAACTAAAATTTGGAAAATAAGACCCAAACCCTTTTATAAATTGTTAAATGCTTTGATACCCTTGCATATATTATAAGTGCAGAAAGCAAAATTTTTGCATTCTACTCATGCAATGCTATTGAGCGCATGTCAATCACCACAGCCTATAGTGTACAAAAATCATGTCCTGTTAAGCCCACACAGTAAATATTTCCCTATATGTCACTATCCTTCTACAGTTAGAATTTTAGCCAACACTTTTGTTTTTGTTTGTTCAAAGAACCTCTTATACTTTCTCACTACACCTACTGTACACTTCATCACTTGAACACCTGCTGAACTAAACTTGTCTTGCCAGAATTTTTTTTTATATTATGCAATCTACATGCAGTCAATGGCAGGGTCTTGGGTAGAATTTCTTCCATACCTTTCAACATAACCAACAGACAATTAAAGAAGAACAGAGTGTTCGGAACTATCTGCCAAATGTTAGTGAAGCAAGTTTAATCAAGTGATCTTTGACTAACCTTTCAGCAAAGATTGACTGTTTCAGGGCACTAGCAGAATGCTTAAAAATAAAACTTGGAAGACTAACTTTAAATACAGCTTCATGTAGACTATTTGGTTGTCAAAGTCAAATATGCAATCTGGGTCACACTTTCATAATACTTAAGGCTCAAGGTCAACTAATATTTAAGCATTTCCTCTGCATATATAAAACAAGTACCTGAATGAATGTAAAATCTAGCTTCATCTTTAAGAAAATTAAGTTGTACGCAGGAAATTTTGCTCCACTGTACTCACTTGGAGTTTTTTGTTTAATTTAAATTGAGTTAAGATTTCCCTCTACATGTATACAGGCACATATCCATTTAGATATATGGGTTTTTCAGATGTGCACATTATGCATGCAGGAAAAAATATGCAAGGTAGGTATTTATGTGCACATTATCTTTCTCTGATTTTATGTTCATTGACAGATGCTAGAAACACAGACTGTTAAAACAAGCAAAACATAACATCCTCGACAATTCTATAATATCAAATGCTCACAATCTGTCTATTCCAAGCTAATAAATGACTACCACTTTTAAACTGACCAGCATATGCAGATTTTAAAGAGTGATGAAAAAATCTACGCACCCTGGTTTCATTTAGACAGTCTGGACTGCAACATTAAACTTATTTTAAAATGGATGGTCATCTGAATGACAAACATTCTTTTTGGGAGGGGGTCTAAGGATGTAAAACCTACATAGCGAAGGGGACACCCAGAATTCTCTTCTGGACGCTGTATGAGTTGGCAGCCCTATTGCCTAGGGCACACTGCTATGGATTTTTGCTGTTGTATGGAACTCCACAAAATGCTTTTGATCCATTTTATCTTGTAACTTAGCAAAGAAATGTTGCAATACGAAACACCAACAAAGATCTGAAAAACTTAAGCTGTGGATTACCATATTGTGTTCTCCTGCCATTCAATGCATCAGACAAAGGCAGTGGTGTTCAAAGTAGAAGAAAAAGAAAAAAGAAACTGGTCACAGAAAGTGTAGAGCACAAAGTAAATAATATTCCTCCACATCTCTACTCTTTCATAGATTTGTTGTTAAAAGAGTTGCAGCAATTAGGCTTTTGTTAATTACCAGCTGTTGAAACAGATGTGTTGACTGTCCTTATTAGCCAACAGCTGGGACAGGAGAACAATTGATGCTCCCTAAAACCAACAGCCAGCTGCTTTATAGTAATTATCTCCAATCAATAATACAGGTGATAAGGCAGTAAAAACCTTATGAGTTTCAATAACTAAGGCACTGTTACTGAATATCACTGGAATTTATGGTTAATTATAGAAAATGAGGAAAACAGTAAGTTGCTATGGCTGCCAATCTTTATTATGTCATAAAAGGGGCAAGAAACATACAAACACTGAGGAATGCAAATAGAAACATATACTTTAAATTTAACTTGCCATATTTCAAATGTTTCTGCCTATTTTCAAGGGCTAGTCTCTCTCTCAGGTGGCTCTCTGTGTTTCATTTTTGTAGAACTGATGTCCTTGCCACATGTCTTTTCTTTACACTTCACTGTACATCATTTGAATTGGGGGTAAAAAGATGGGGGGAACTGTCCCTTTAGCCAGTAGCAAACCTTGTTATACAATATATAATGACAGAGGTTTAGATCAACAGTTAGAGCAGGGGTCTGAGTCTCAGGAGACTTGGCTTGCAGTTCTAACACATCAATGACTCTTGACAAATCACTTAATTTTTCTTTGCTCAATTTTCCACATCTCTGAAATGGAATAATAATGCTTATCTATTTTTTTACTTTAGTTGGCTATAAAAGTGCCACATTAAAGCAAAGTAACATTGTTACAGTTTTCTCTGCTATTCATGTATGCCAAAGATTATAAAAGGTACAGACCAGTTAGTAGAGTACTGCCATTCAAATTTTCCACTGGCAGGGGCCACTAGCACAATAAAAATATCTGAATGGATCATACTACCTCAACACAGATAGTCATATGGCTTTTATTTACTTTTGTGCCTGCTCTGCTTATATTTTCTTGTCTCCATATCCTATTAAAGTACATTAAAAAAGAAAAGCAATGTAAAACAGAGATTTTACACCATTTATATTAGCCAGGCAGTTCATCTGAGGCCAACAAAAGGCATGTCTACAAGAATCTACAACCATGTCTATTCACTAATTAGATTGCACTTAAAGACACTGCCTTACTGAAAACAAGGATTAAGGCTGGCTGAATACTCGTCCTTTCATAGACCTCCCTTATATGTCTCTGTTGGGTCATCATAAGCAGCTTGTTCACTCAGCTTTAAGTAGAGAAGCTTGACAATCAGTTCTGCACTCATCAATAGGCATTGTGGCAATTAAGAGGAAACACAGAATTTTTAAGAAACATGTTAAGAAACCAGCTAGCAAAAAGGTTTTATCCAAATGTATTTATAAAACCATACCATACTTTAGCTTCCCATATTAGTTATATTTAAAGAAAGAAGTATGTTAAGCTATTTGGGACAGAACGCTGAAATAAACCTAAGTAACTTTTCTTCCTCCTCTTTCCTCCTCCAAAATAAAAAAAAAATCTTATTATATGAAATCAAGACTCCCCGGACACAGTATTTGAACATTTATCATTACAACTATTAATATGAATTCATTTCACACCATACAAGGAAAACCTGTGTAGAACTTGGATTTAGATATCAATTTTCTGTACTTCAAAAAAATACCTAAAAATAGAAGTCACTACCCTCCCTCTTTCCCCTCCATGTACTTAGAGTTCCATTAGCAATTATAATACAATGCTATCCAAATAGGAGAGCCATAAACCACAGCAAACCACACAACCCTCCAAAACTAACTGATGATAGAACATTATGAAGAAAACAGTAGAGAAATAATGATAAACACTCTTTCGTTACTGTTTTACAGATTACGAAAATCTCTACTGAACTCTAACTTTTTCCCTTCCCCTAGTTGCCTGGATTTTTAGTCCCCTGCTGATTTTAACCCATACTCTATCCTCCTTTAGACAGTTCTAATTTTCACTTTCTACAGCAGAAATGAAATATTCTATATTTTTTATGATAGGTAGTGAAAGCTTAAATTGGCACAAAGATTGCAAACATCTCACGGGGGGAAGGGAACCAGAAGTACCTGTTTTAAGCCACCGCTTTTTGGTCTTTCCTTCCCCTCCTACCCAGCTGCCTCTTCCCTATAGAATCCACCGACAGTGTTTTCTGCTTATCATATGGGTTTTCCTATTAGAAGACAAATTTTGGCTTTCAGCCTCCTGTTTGTAATCCATAAATGAATTGAGGGAGGGGAAGGGAGTGAATATGCTTAAATTATGGTCTGGCTCCACTTTGGTCTAGTAAGAAATTAGTAAAATCTAGATCATGCCATCTAGGCACAGATCTGAATAGTGGACAGCATGGTGCCACTGTCACAAGGTAAGCTCAGGGAAGGTCTATGCTCATGAGTGGAAGATGCTTTTAGATAAATTAGGTTAGATCTCCAGCTAAACATCAGGAAATTTTAGTGTTGTCAGTTTTAGTGGGAGTTTTGAAGTACAGCAACAGCAACAACAATGGTAACAGCAACAGAAATTGCTGTATTACGTGGAAACTCTTCAAATATCAGCAATATTAGCAGTGAAAAAGGAGGAATTGACTAGGAGCATTAAAGTTATTATAATTCTGCAGGGACAGAGGACATGACATTTTGAGGTGAGTGTGTACATACACTTGGGATGGCAGAAGCCTTGGCTGCCTAATATTCTAAGGCTGTATGACGTCTCACAAATGGGGATGATAAACCCAAATTCACAGATTTATTATTATTGGCAGTCTACTGCTGCAAAATAAATTTGTGGAACATACTCGAATAGTAACAAACCACATCATAGTACATCCTACTTGGCCACTAGCATTTACCTGAACTGAAGACACCTGGATTTTAGCCTCATGGTCCTGCAACAGTACCATGGTGTACACTAATAGATCAGGAACACACACTCTTGACTTGGCTCATTGCATAATTAGGACAAGGCTTCTTAGCCTTAAGACAGACATAAAAAGATTTGAATTCATATCCAACAGGGCCACATTCTGTCTTCTGAGGCACTCATGTAATCCCACTGAATAAGGCTGAGAGCAGATTTAGCTCATTGAATTCATTCCAATACACTTTTATGTCTTAATCTTTAATCTTTACCTTGCTAATGAAACACATACATACTTCAGGGTATTACATATCATGATGATAACCCATTCTGTCCAAAGCTATAGTATGTCTTTGCATTTTATTTTTAAAGAAAACAACTGTAGAAACAGTAAAAAGAGTTCCCTAATAAAATGTTAAAATTACGCTTGCTGGCTATAATAAATCCTTTCTGATATCTCATAAAATGTTAGTAAATGTTCCAATCAAGCTCTCAACAAAATTCACCTGGCAACAGCTGCACTGAAACAAAGTTACTGCAGCAACAAGTAACGTCACAGTGTTAATAATTGACATGAAAAGAATGAAAAGGTGAGCAAGGGATAAAGAGGACAAAGGAAAGATTTCAGTATAAATTTATCCTGGTAAGTAATGAATCAAAATTAAGACTGAAATAGTTTGCATACGTGCTATATTAAAAACTGGGGTAAATTTGATATCTTGGACTCTTGCTGATCAATCCATGAATGAATATCAGCATTCAACTTTATACATTTCTTTTCCAGAACTTGATTTGCAAAATCCAACAAACTAATCCCCTGCTGATTTGAATCTACCTTCATTTGGTTCCCTCAAGAAACTACAGAGAACACCAGAACAGTAGCTCCTGATGTTTGCTGTACCCAAGAAAAATGTGTGGTTCAATTCCTGGTTCTACAGGTTAAAACAGGAATTACTAGAGTGTTGGTAATGAATAAGTTTCTAGATTTACATATATCTATCAAAAGGTCACTCCCCTCTGAGGAAGGAACTATATCCTAGTGACACTGTTTGGATGGAGTTGATTCACATGACTAAATTATCAACAGCCTTGGGTGGATTCTGCTATTGTATTAATATCCATGACTACTTTTGCTAGAGGCACCACAGCAAAGAAGCCTTAAACAAAATAAAGTTGAGAGAGAAAAAAAAGATAGTGAAATAAAGGCTTGATCCTTCAATACTATGTTTTCTCCTACTATCCACAATATGACTAGCACACAATTCTTGTATACAAGCTTAAAATATCAGTGCTTCTATTTAAATTACTGGTGTTTCATACCCTGCTATTCTCATAACATTGACAGAAATTATATTTACTGTAGATTATCACTTCATTTCAGAATTTTCTACAAAACAAGTACACTAAACAATCAAATGTACTTCAAAGGCTTACCTCATAACAGTGAGGGTTTGTAAATTTAAGTGCCTAATTTGTTCTTTTCCAATGAAGTTAGCAGTCACCTATCCCATCCTCTTAATTCTGACTTTTTATACAATTATCGAAATGTCATTAATTCAAACAGATTGGATTCTTAGACTCTATTAAAAAACACTCTTTTACACCTTTTGAAGTGCACATAAAATACTGCCTCTCTTCCTGACTCTTAAAGATTTATCATTATAGGCTGTAGGGAGATTGCATATTATTAAAAGTTAATTGTTTTTCAACATATAATGCAGATTTAATGCTAAGTTATGAACCTTCCACACTTACTAAAAGTTGAACAGCGACTGTCAAAATACATTAAACAAATATATTTATAATTTATTGTGGACTGGAAATGGGACTGCCATAATTACTGGTCATTAATGAGGTTATGAGTAGAAATTTCCCACAAATATTTATTATTATCTTATGTTACAATAAACTACATAGTGGCATTATTTCAGTTATTTCTATCTGTTATTCTTCCAGTGTCTGACATTAATTTAAATAAACATGTCTTATTGTAGAAACTCAGTTCCTTTATTTTTAATCTGCTTAAACATGGCACTATTAAAACACTAAACACTTTCTAAAAGAAATAACTGTTGAATAGTGTACCAACCAAAACCTTCTCATTTTTACAGCATCAAACTCCAGGAGACAGGAGGCCATATTCTGTTACCTATTAGGTGGGTAAGTAGGCTTAGGTGCCTAAGTGTAGTTCTATGCCACCCTACTTAAGTCTATGAAAAACTGTTAATGCAGGAGGTAGAAAGGTCCTTCTTCTCCTTGCTGCTTTTTACATGATTCAGTCTTAAGGGTCAGGTGATGGTGTATTACAAACATAAATATGAACTTTCAGGGACTTGAATAGGATGGCATAGAATCACACTTAGGCACCTAAATCCACTTAGATTGTCCAATAGGTAGAAGTGAATCTTGCCCTGGGTAACCAGTCCTGGAAAAAGGCTGGCTCAAACAACTGGTTATAGGGCAGAACATTTCACTGCTAAATAACCATTCGAGTGAGTTCCCAGCAGGTCCTACTGCTTCCCCCTCCCCTCCCACGCTCTTCTCTTACAATCTTTAATACTAATTTATATTAAGCATCTAAATTTTAGAATATCCTCAATCCTCTCTAAATAACAAAGCTTGACACTAATGTTTGCTAATAATAATCATTATCAGTCTTGTCATTTAAGGTTTAGGTTGGGAAACTTGTTGCTGCAAACACTGAAACTGACAGTTAGCATCTACAATAAGTTTACCACTAAGAAAAACCACAGTAAGTAAACATTGATTGGTAAATACAAATTACACTTGACAATACAATGATCTTGCATATTGTTGCTACAGCAGTGAGTCAAGTGACTTTTTAACAAAACAGGGTTTTTCATATTACATAGAAGCTTTCCAGTGTCTCAAATGATGTAATATAACCTTCAGTTTAAGATGACCCTCTATACACTCTCTTATCCTATACACAAATGTTGAGATTAATTATTCCACTGCAAAAAATGACCAACAACTACTCTTGCTAGAACCACAAAATTAACTCTTTCAGTCATCTACATGGATTTTAAAAACCTTCCCTGGCACTATACATTTTAGCACAGTAGTCTAGATTTAATTTTTTTTTTATTTTACAAAGGAGGCTATTTTATCATGATCATTAGTACTTTTGGACCTAACACTTTAAAGAGAAAGGGAGCATAATGCTAAGGAAATCTGTTTCAAGGTTAGGATAATCTGCTAAATGTGTTTCATATAGACTAATATAGTTGCAATGGAAATAAGGAAAAAATTAAACATACTACTGGATTTCCAAGCAGCATACTTATTGCATTCGTTTCATTTTAAAATCAGAACCCCCTTTGATGACTTTTTAAACAATGTTTAAATAGAAATCTATTGAATATAACTGATCCCAAGAACGCCTGGGGTCATTCAAAATGGAATGCTATTCTTTATTAATGAGGATAATCTCCTTATCACTGTTACAAGTATATCACATTCTGGTGGACAGAAGTGGTTCTTGTCAGAAGCAGATGAAGATTTGGGCTAAATTCTGTATCTCAGTACAGGATGACTGAAGCTCTGTTTCTGAGACCTGATTTCCAATATACTTTGCAGTACTGATACTAGGAAAAAAAAATATAGACATGAGCTAACACCAAAATATATATGTTGTTTTAGAGTTATGAGTGACTGGAAGCATGTATCTTGAACATGCAAAGAACAGCGTGCTTACCAGAACTCAGGAGGGGATACTGGTGGAGGTCTATTATAGCCCATGAATTAACTCACCATATAGGATGCCTTTCTCCCTAAGCACCTTTCTGTAAGTGATATAGAGGACTTCAACTTGAGTGACATATGCCAATTGTAAAACATCACTATAGGTTCTTAAAAAAAAGAAAAAAACCATACTTTTCTAAAATCAGGTACATCCAACAGAAGTTAACTCTTTTTGGAACTCATTTTTGATGCATTAAGAGAACTGAATCACTGCATTTTAAGGTGGTAGGTATCTAGATAGAAGTAAGCCTACCCTGACTCATTCGGTATGAAGAAAGAAACAGTCCTACCTAGTTATCTTTGGTTTTTCAGGTCTAATTTCCTAAATATGGGAGGAAAAAAACTGCATTGAAGAAATGTGAATGAAAATAGGGAGTTCCTTAAGAAGAATGTATTATATGGCCAAAAAGCTATTACTTAATAACCCAGGAAAACAACAACGTTAGGAAAAAACCCAGTGTAAAAGTAGAGGCAACAATTGGAAATGAAAAGCAATATATTAAGTAATAAAAAACCTACAATAGATAGTAATAGCTAGAAGTTATGAAGTGTATTAAATTGATAGGGAAGCTAAAGCCAGCTGGGAAAAACCCACTGTTGGCAGGGCTCAAGACAGTAAAGCTTTTTAAAGTACATTAAGTGGAACAACAACAGCAACATACCAGCAATGTGACAATCCCATTACTAGACAGAGAGAGTGTAATAATTATGAAAAAAAGGAAGACTTGTTCATTAAATATTTTTGCCTAGTATTTAAAAAGAAGCAGTTGTTGTGCTTTATCAAAATGATGCATTTTCTAGTCCATTAATAATGAAGGAGGATGTTAAACAGCATTTAGTTAAAGCAGTGATTCTCAACCAGGGTCTCACAGCACTCTGGGATCTTTGAGATCCTTTCAAGGGTGTTGTGGGGTGCCATACAATGTTAGCACTGTTAGGTTAGCAAACATAATTCACAAGATAAACCCAGAGATTTCAAATAGGAATCAATAGTGTCAAAGATTCTGACCTGTTGTGGTCTGAGTTCTTTTCAACAGAAGAATTGCTCTGTTATTTTTCTGTTGTCAAAAAACGAGTGAAAACTAAGAGCTGTCATTTCTGAGGGGAGCCTCAAATCTAAAAAGGTTAAGGTTCTTCTACCAAAAGGATAAATATTCTTAAAACAGCAGACCTGGATAACATTCAGCCAAGTGTACAAAAAGAACTGATTGAGATAATTGGTTTGTTGATACTCACTCTTAATGAATTTAGCATGTCAGAGAAACTCCAGATGACTGGAAGAGTATTTCTATTGCGCAAATATTAAAAAAAGACAAATAGGATGATCCATAAAACTCTAGACCAGTAAACCTGATATCAATCCCAGGCAAAATAATGGCAAATGAATATGGGATTAATAAATTTAGAATTAAAGAGCAGGAATATAAGCCTAGCCAGGTAACATTTAAAAAATATCCCCTGTCAAAGAAATCCAATTTCATTCTTTAATGAGATTACCAGTTTGGTTGACAAACGTGCAAATGGAATATTCGTAGATCCAGATCCTATTTCACTTAGGTGACAAAGCATTATCCTATTTCTGAAAAACTCTTAACACAAAGAGTCAGGTCTTCCTTTTCCTTGCTGCTTCTTGTGAATTAGTTTTAAGATAAGCATGAAAACATTACAAAAGTACATTTTTGCATGGACTTGAGTGGGTAGAATACGAGTGTACTAAGGTATCTAATAGAAGGGATACATCCTGCCTTTCAAACTTTTATACGGTGTTTGATTTAGCAAAGTACGCAGACTCAAAATTAGCACTGTACAATAAAAATAAAATACACATTATTGGAATAGTCTAACTGACAGACCTCCAAAAAGCCATTTTCCAGAGAA